GAAGTTTTCTCCCAAAAAAAACATCATTAAAGCCGCCGGCGTGGGCGCGCTGCAGTTTTTTATTTAGATAATAATTTAATTTCGAGCTGGCGTTCCGCAGCGAGTCCCGCTTCCGATTTCCCCATTTTAACTTTTGTTTTTTATTTTCAATTTGTTTCTCCCTAATGAATCCATGCCTGGAAGCCGTTAAATTATTTTCAAGGGGGAAAAAAAAAGTAAATAAAAAGAAAAAGAAAAAAAATATAGAAAATGAAAATAAAAATAAAAATAAAAAATAATAATAAACTAAAACTAAAACTAAAACTAAAACTAAAACTAAAACTAAAAAATAAAAAATAAAAATATAAATATAAATATAAATATATAAAATAAAATAAAATAAAATTAAATTAAAATAAACTTAAACTATTAATAAAATAAAAATAAAAATAAAAATAAAAATAAAAATAAAAATAAAAATATAAAAATATAAAAATAAAAATAAAGATGTGCCAGGACCTCTCCCCATTCTCTTTCCTGCTCGGGGATTTGTGAGTGGCGAAGAAATGGAAAAATTCCGCCTAAAATCCATTTTAACAACCCCGAAGCCGCGGATGGAAGCGCTGCCATTAAGGGCCGGGCAGCGATGAAAAATATCAATTATGAGCAGCTTTCCTGCCTTGAATAATTAATTCCGCAGATCCCATCAAGGCAATTAGCGCAGGAAGCGGCCGCGCGAAATTCGGAAGGGGCGGAGCTTGCGCGGGGAATGCGCGGGGGCGGTTCCGTGCTTTTATTGGCTGCAATATTCCATATTCGGGATTTTGGGGGATTTTGGGGCGTGCGGGTTTCCAGCGCCGCGGGAATTGCGGGAAGGTTCCCGATATTTGCATATAATTAGCGAAAATCCAATTAGCGCCCCAAAGCGGCTTCGGCCTCTGCCGGTGGGATCTGCTCCCAAAATTTCCTGCATCCTTCCCGTCCCCCATGGAAAAAAATCCCGAATTTTTATTTTTGCCGCCGTTCCCTCGCAGCTTCTCCCACCCGCGAGCGTGGCTTTATTTATTTATAATTTTTTTTATTTATTTATTCTTTTTAGTTTTAATTTATTTTTTAATTTTTAATATTTTTATTTTTATTTTTATTTTT